AGACGCGGGGGTCTCTGGGGGGGGGGGATGTCCCAGACGAGATTTTACATCAAAGACAATGTTTTTAAGTTTTATTTTCTATGGTAACATGCATCACACATCTAATTAGGTCTCTGTGGTTGCCAAAAATAGCTAATAAAAGATCATGAGAATTTGCTGGTGCTTAATTTTGACTATATTATATTATAATATCACCATTATATGGTGATGTGATAATGATGAATTTTACTATTTAAAAGTGTCATTTCTGGTCATCTTGAGGTACTATTTTCTCAAATGTTCTCACCTCAGCCCCAACCATTGTGGGGCTGAGGTAAATGTTACCAACTGATTTTACTGAACTACATTACCACATCATTTTGCTAAAGAAATTAAAATGTTATTATATTTTTTTTTCACTGAACTAATATGCAGATCTATAAAAAACTAAATAAAATTTGATAAAAAAAGATATAAAAAAAATCTTGCACTCTGTGCAAAATGGATGGATTATTTTTGAATTATTTTTATCCTACATGGCACCTTTTTAATTGCTTCAGTAACCATTGATTCTTTCTCTCCATTATAAACTATGCAGGACAACACTGCAGCAATCTCTTCTGGGCGTAAATCATCAAGAATCCTGCCAAAGATAATCTCAGTCAATATGATCTCATGGTGACTAAATTTGCAGGCTACAATGCCCTTCTGCTGAATCTCCATGTCATTGTTTAAGTAACGTAGACTTTTCAACACCTAACAGGAATGAATAAAATAAACAAACGTCTAATCTCTAAATAGTGAAAAACAAAATCACATATTGTTTTAGTTATGTTCACTGGCAGGAACATGAATTCACATACTGATAAAATAAATTGTTACACATCTACAATTTGTTATTAATTATTGTCGGATATCCTGTAGTGACATTGGTCCTTTTTACTGCCCCAAAACATGCCTATCATTTTAATTTATTTATTCCTTCTTTATACTGAATATACACTTTCAGTACATAGCACTGATTCCAAGTGGTTCAGTTCTCAGTAACCAAAAAAAAAGCAAAAACTTAAACTTAACTGCAAAGTTATAAAATACAAATGAAAGGGAACATTGGATGAAACTTAGGAAAATATTAATAATTAATACAGTAATAGGCCCTATATATGGATATGCAAGATATGAGAAAATCTAGTTAAATAAACATGGTATTATTGAGGATCTGAAATAGAATGCTTAAAAGTTGAAAGGGTCATATATTTAAAGCTGGTTTTAGCATTATCCGGGAGTTTATTCTATAATTTAGTAGTTTGGCATACAAAAGTTCTTTTACCTTGCACTAATATTCCAGGTGTTTCAATGAGTGTATTTTTACTTTGACTACAAGTACAATGCATTTGCAAACAATAATTAAAGGAAAATTTTAAGATATATATGATGGAGCATGACCATTTAAACATTTTTAGAAATACACTGTTATGGACCAAAATAAAAATTAGATGGGGTGTGGTGCCTTCAATAGCACAAAATTAAAAATAAATAATGTTTCAAATTCAGATCCTTCAACATTTAAATACCTTCTGTCTTTGTTGAAACTGTGGCAGCAGAAGCAAGGGTCTTTCAGAGAGCTCTTCTTCAACTTTCGCTATTTCCTCCTTCAGTATTTGTTGATTTTCAAATGTTTCATACTGTACATAAAATTTTAAAATGAAAGTAATGGTCAGATTCAAATGCTAGACCACGATAATATTTACTGTCAGATATTATCTTTAAAAGATGTTTCTTTTTTAGTTGGCATACATACTTCAAATTTCCAAGTAAAAACAGACAATTCATCATCATTATTTAGCATTATCACATTCACCATAATCTACTTTAGTCATAAACTGCATCTTATCTCTACAATACACCAATTTTTTTTGTTGCAAAAAACAGAATTTATAATTACAAAGGTATATAAAAGATAAATGGCAAGATTAATTAGACCTACATGCATACGAAGGTGTCTACACTGACAACATTTATATCCAGAAAGTTGCTCTTCCAGATAATTTCTCTCCTGTGAAACATTCTGAGGAATGAAAAAGGAAATATTACCTTTCTACAGAATCTATGTATGAGGGTATTCAGCATAACTTTCCTCATTAGTGAAATATTAATTATACAAACTAGCATATACCCATGCTCCGCATGGTGTTGAGTGAGTGGGTAAAGGTGGCAATATATATTGTTGATTGTTATGGGAAGTCAATTGTTGTGGATGCTATGGTCCCCATTTTATTATTTTTCTGAAGGACGTCTTTATAGATACTGTTTTGAGTTTCTTTGCTGAGTAGTCCTTGTGAGGAATTATTGTTCAGTAAATTTGATGAAGGGTGGATCCAGAATTTTTCTAGGGGTGAGGGGCACTCAACAGTTTTAGAATAGGTAAGTGAGTAGCAAATAGAAGTAATTAAAAAAATTTAGAGGCAAAACGGGGATGCAGGTGCCCCTCTCCCCTTACTGGATCCTCCCCTGCCTCCTGATCCATTTTACGTAAATTATTTTTTAATTTTTATTTATCTATTCAAGACCCAAAAGTGTGTCAAACACCAAAAACAGGGTTGTCATAAAAATACAATATGATATAAAAATAAATGCCTAAAGATTAAAAAAATACATAAAATACTATAAAAATTAATTTTACATATCAAATATTAAGGATTACATTAAAGGTAGAAAAATTACAATTAAAAATATCAATATTAGTAAATATTTGAACAAAATTATTGTATAAAAGAGGCAACTCAACGAAAAAGTACCATTTTCACAAACATTAACACGGGAATACTGAACTAATTATAACAAATGATTAATACGAAGCTTATGCACAGGAACATGAAAATAAAAATTTGACACACGGTTACAATCAAACTTAGAATTTAAGTATTTAAAAAGGAAAATAAGGTCATTTCTTTTGTGTCTAGTAGATGGTAGAAATTCTTCACAGCTAAGCGAACCGGCTGCTGGGCTGATGAACTTAATGAATTTATTATGAATCTGGTCAATTCTGTAGCATGAGTTTGAGATATTGAGTTGTAGATAACTGAACAGAAGTGAAGGGATGGAGTAATTAACAATGTATACAGAGTAAATTTTGCGGGAGGTGTAAGAAGTTTGAAAATTCTCCACATCAGTCCAAGCAGCCGGTTCGCTTTTTTAACAATGGTGTCCACATGGATGGAAAAGGTTAAGTTTCCATCAATGTTTCCAACACAAAGGTCACAATGTGCTTTAACAACTTTTACAACTGGGACAAGGTCTCTATATGGTAGCATACAACATCATAAATTATATTGAGTCTACCACTGACATTTTCACTAAAATCTAATAGAACATTTAGATCTTCAAAAGTTGCTTTCTTACAGTTGAATTGGTATCTGGCAAATTGATTTACGAAATCAAAATAACCGTCAAATTTTAGCTTAAAGGAGATTAACTTGTGGTCAGTATGAAAAACATTATTGCCAGTTTTTATGTCATTTACCATATCATCATTGTTTAAATCCAGGATTTTATTATTACAAGTAACATTCAAGTTTACATCGTTTGAGGTTATGTCCATCAAGAACAGTATCCGTAAACAGTTTAGTTATGGAGTTTACTGGTGCTTGGTACGTACCATTAGGACATCAAAGTATGTCTGAGAAATTACAATCTCCAACAATTAAGAGTTTATAGTCACCATAGGACCGAATGGATGACTCCAAGGATCCGACAAAATGTCCTGTGTAAAATTTGGTGAAGTACTGTAATTTTGATGATCAAGATATAATCACTTCAGTCCATATTATTTCGTTGACATCATCTTCCGGGTGAAATAGGTCTACGACTAGTTAATCTGGGATGTACATAAGAACGCCTCCTCCACGTCTACCGTCCTGCCTAACACATCTGTACTGTTTAAAATCGGGGACCACAATTTCTGAATCAAGAACAAAGTCTTTCAACCAAATCTCCGAGAACGATACTATATCGTAGACGCTGTTTAACATAAATGTCTCGCGAAAAATGGCGAAAAAGGTACGTGATTCATTGGTTTATGCTGTTTTTTCGTTGCCATCCAATATCCAGCCTTGAAAATAGCGGAATATGGTCGTGACATATAGAAACCCCAGTGTATGACATGAGCACATTCCTGCCTGCGGTTTCAGAGGAGGTGAAGTTACGCAGAGGCAATTAGCAGAATTATTGTAGATGAACAATCAGCATATTATTCACACACATTCCAAAAACAATAGGCTGTCTCAATTAACATCTGGCATTCTGGCAAGTTTGAAACGAATCGGACTTACCAAACTTTAGTTTAATCGTGGTAACTAGCCTATTACATGATTGGTGAAAATATTAATAATGCAAATAAGCAATTAGCATATTCAAACACACCAAAAACAATAGGCTTTATCTTCTTAATACCATCTTGCATTCTGCCAAGTTTAAAACCAATCAGACCAAACTTTAGTTATAATTGTAACAAACAAATGACTGACAACGACAGTGACAACAACATGAAGAACATATTTAAAAACTCCTTGAGGTGGCTAATAAATATAAACGATAATGTGTGTAAACAATTGCAAGGCCTCAAATACTCTTGTATTAACTTTTTCAGTTTCTTAAATTTTCATTCAACCTTAAAATGATTTTGAGGTGATTTTTGCTCATGTTTAATTTTTCAATTATCACTTGTCAACAAATGACAATGACATTTGGGCGAGAGTCTGCAATATCCTTCCTTAGGCATGTGTCGTAATTCTAGGAGCAAAAATGAATAGCCTGATGGAAATTACTTGTCCCAACATTACAACTCCCTGCCCCAACTGATTCATATGGTTATTCTTGTATTTCTACTGGTGCTCATATTCATACAATTTAATATTCAAAGTCACAAATAAATGGAACATCTATAAATGACTTTTAAAATTCAACTGTTCTTGTTGATTGTTAAATTATATATAATTACTATTATTATTATTATTATTATTATTATTATTATTATTATTATTATTATATAATTACTTTCTGTCTATGCTTACCTTCACTAATCTTACCTGTAAATATGGTCTTAAACTATTAATCTTTTTGTATGTGTAATAGTACTGTTCCAGATCCTCTTCGCACAGGCCACAAGGTGCAGGTTTGATGTCATTTAACCTATGTTTCAAAGCTAAAAGTTCCGTTTCCCTAGATAAATCTCTGCAATACTCTGCAAAGCTTTGCTTGAGGATATCCTGTATTCGGAACTTAGCCCTATGAAGTAAATTTAGGATCATGCTATCCTTGAGGTAAAACTGAGATTCAACAGGACAAGCCTTTCCCTATGGGTAAAAAATAGATTAATTCCATTACACTTACTAATCAGCATCATTACTGTAGTGACAAAGTGAATTTAAAGCATTAATACATATTAAAGTGAATTTTCTCGCTCTTAAAACAGGGGCAGACCTGTCAACCCATACGCATTTGCCGTAAAGTCTTGCGTATTCCAATCAAATCTTCCAAGACTTATGCAAACAACGGCAAAACTTACGCTTATCCTAAAATTTGAGTAAATTTTGTTTCCTTTTCAATTTTTAATGAATTTTCATAAGAAGGGAAAATGCCTTTCGTTATCTTAACCTATCTTTCAATAACGACTGTATCTGAGATCATTATAAACTCAATAATATCGATTAGATGCCATTTAAGCCAAAGCATCAGGCGGGGCCTAGCCCTGGACCCCAACCGGGAGCCCTTGGCAGCCCCCTGGCCCCAGCCACTGTTCGTGCCTTAGGCACTCACTATGTCACCCGATCTTACTCTTTGAAATTTCTCAAGGTTGTCAGGTATGCAGGGGTCATTGCTGACCCCTCACATAGGCAATAAGTTACCCCTTCTTTTGGACCCCTTAGACTTGTTGGATCCCCTGTCAACAAATTTCTGGAGCTACCAACTGCTAAACAAAGTGTACCGTCTTTCGATGAGACATTTAAGCTGTTGGTCCTGTGTGCAATGGCCCATGTGGACGTTAAGGAACGCAGTACACCACCTGAAGGACCCCACTGGAAATAAGTCTTCAGATTTAGTAGGCTATCCTTGGTGTCATTCACACCAAAATACTATCCCTTTCAACTTACTTGTTGGAAACTTCTTAATATTGAATCATTAGGAATGCGATCTCCGCATAGAATGATAGAGAAACCATGGTCATCCTTGCCTCTTCTACCTGCTCTGCCAGCCATCTGAATGTATTCGGCTGAATTAACAGTACGTCTCTTCACTCTATCATACTTTTCATTAATGGAGTCAAAGATCACAGTTCTTGCTGGCATATTTACACCGCTAGCAAATGTCTCTGTAGCAAATAGGACCTAAAAATCAAGTTAAATATACACCACTTATAATAATACTAATCAATATTTTTATAGCGCATAATGTTAATAACCTCAAGCCTATTGGAACTGAAGTAGAAACAAGGAGATAAGAGGACTCTTTAAAAGAAAGAAGCCTCCATGAGAGCTAATTTAGAGCTGTGTAAATTAAAATATGATTTTAAAATGAATGCTATTCTGTTATTCATATTTTTTTATCTTATCATCTGAGCACCTTCACAAGACCCTTTTGGAACAGATGTTCTACAATTTCCTTCAAAAGTGGCAAGACTCCACTGTGGTGATAAGCTATACCCATCATCAGCATCTCCTTCAACTGAATGATCTGAAAAATGCAATGTGATTTAAAAATCAAAATATGCTTTTTAAAATTAATAACAATAAAAACAAAAATAACAATTAAGCAGAGTATCCAGCTCATAAATCTTAATTTCACTCGTTTTTAACTAACAAGTAAACAAAGAATCCAAACAATGATTTCATTACCCATAATTCACTCAAATATTAATATCTAGTTTAGATATTCAAGGGTCACTAATCTCATGGGTCACTATCTCAGAGCCACAAGGGTCTCCCATAAATCTCCAGGAGATAAAATAAGCAAAATAAATAAAATACTGGAAAACATTTCCTAGAGACGGCAAGCTATAAAGGAAAATAAACATTTGTAATCTAACAACACCAATGAACATTTTTTTGTTTTCATACAAGGAAATTTACAAATTCAAAAAATTTATGAAAAGGGTGACCTGGAATAATTTCTTGTCTGACTCTGTCAAGCTTTTCAAGGAGTTATTCAAAAAAACTGCAATTTCACTCTTCTCTTTTCGGCTTGTCAGATCAGCGCCCAGTAAAGTCAATGCAGTATCTCTGCATTTTGCTTTCGCGAATGTAAACACAAGTGCTGGTAAATAATCTAATTGGTATAGTACCATTGTGACAAATGGCAAGTACTGATTTCTTTGCTGAAAGACAAAACAAAAGTCACTTAATATTAATACTTATCATTATCTACTTTCCAATTATATTAAATTCAATCACCTTATCATGTATTTAGAATACACACTTTTGAACTGAAAAAATGCATTCTGTTCCTTGTAGAATAGGATATGGACATGATTTGTGTCGATTTAGAAGAGGTCACCTCACTAAATAAAGCATAAAACATAAAAGTTTTCAGGACATATTCGATTAGAGGGGAGAATGGTTAAAAAACACCATAAAGTTTTATATATATGGCTGCTCTCACCATTTTTTTTTTCAAAAAACCCAGATCCTTCATTAACATCCACACAAGATGTGTGAAGCCTCTTAGAAGGTAGGACTTACATTTTTCACCCATTGACATTCACCTATAATTTTACTATCAACTATTTGCTGATTGCACAAGGATGCTGTTTCATCAACATCTGGACTGGTTTCCATGCTAAACAAAGTGTATTTAAGGTAACCTTTCTAGTCTATTCCTAAGCTCTGCTCTTTGTCTTAACAAGTTATCAATTAAGTCATCACACCAGTTTACTACTGAGCCTTTTAGTTTTTATGTCAGGCAACCTGAGCATACCAAAAATGGATATGAAGTATTGAATGACAATGTAGAAAAATTCAAACACAACGTGACATATGTCCGCCACTCTAGAGATGAAAACAAGTCATCAGCAAAACAAAAAAATTTAGTTATTGGCAATTTAATGGTAAAACATGTTAAAACAAGAGGATTACAAAACATGTCCGTCAAAACACATCATGGTGCCACTACATCTCAAATGCTTAAACTAGTGAAAGAATTTGATATTATTTTGCCTGTGGGAACCAATGATTACTGTAAGGATAACTTGGATATTACCAACCTGAAGAATGTCTTCCAAAACCTCACATCATACATAGTTTTACAGATCTCAGGAAATATGCAAGTGTCAAGCATTTGCCCACGGCTTGACAGCAAAGTTGCAAATCAACGAGTGCAAAAAGTAAATGCCACCCTGAAATTGTTGTATGGATGGAACTTCATTGACAACAATTACACTTTTCTAAACCAGAATGAAATTGACCAAACAAGTTTCACACCACACGGCCTCCACCTCAACAAAAGAACCACCAAACTACTGAAGAGCATCAATAAAGTAATTTGTATATTACCTTCATCAGGAAAGAGCGTAACTCATCTTCACTTAATTACTGTTACCATTGTGGTGAGAGGGGGCATACATCACGAGTCTGCAGACATGGTAAGCCAAACTTGCTGGCAATGTAACCAAGAAGGGAATAAGCACAAACTGTGTGAATATTACAACACCCAACAATGAAAGCTTGGCAATGAAGAAGGTACGCCAAACATGGAAAGAATCACCCTCAAGGAAAATGACATGGACCTTAGTGGACACTCAAGTGTGGACACTCAAGTGTAGTTTTGAAAACATTAATTTATTCACAGAAAAATGTAAAATATTTGATGACAAAGGTTTTAACATAGCAGGTCTTAACATTGCAACTCTCCCTGGTAAATTTGATGAATTTAAACTTCTCTTAAAGAACAACAAAATTGACATTTTTGTATTATTAAAATGAAACATGCCTTTGCAATGAAATTAAGGATATCGACATTGCAATAAACGGGTATGATATTTTCTGGAGGGACTGAAATTGTGATGGTGGCAGAGTTGCAATATATGTCAACAAAAATGGTTGTTTTACATATACAATTCAAGAAAATATTATGAAACCCCAGCTTGAAATAACTGTTATAGAAATTACGCAACCAAAAATTAACTAGTATCAATCTATTTGAAATTTTTAAGTATATACTAGATGAACTTGAAATTGTTTTTTTATTATATTATTATAAGAATACTGAATATATATTATAAGCATAAGACAATATCAAACAGTACCTTGACATTTCGTAAACCTGCTCTCTTTTGGTTTTCATACGCAGCCCAAGCTCTTCGATAGCTATAAAAATGATATTGTGATTAGCAGACTTCCGATTTCTTTATTTGTCATACATGATACATGTTTCTACCTAGGTTTAACAGTACAATATATCGTTATTATATTATTGTACTGTTGCAGAATAAGCATAAAGATTCCTTGCCTATTGAAACTTCTGAAGTTCCTCAATAAATCAATTTTGCTAAAAATTTAATTCTTATTTGTGTTGGATTGGATTTATTTGGTGTAAACATCTAGTGTTGATTGGACAGTACATTGGGAGACATCTCCTACTCTTTACCAAAGCGTGTACTGCGTTCTTCAACGTGCACATGGGCCATAAATGTACACAGGACCGACGGCTTGAACGTCTCATTCAAAAGACAGTGTGCTTGTATTTCAGCCCTTCAGCTGAAACACAATGAGAACTGAACCAGGCACCTAGTCTCTCCACGGTTCTATATTTAAATATTCAAATTATTCAAACTCCAAAGTATATTGTAGTGATAGTTCTTTCAATTTCATAAATTTCAATACTGCTGTAATTGGATCTACAAATATAATTCTTCTGAAATCATAAAAAAAAAGGTTGCGAATGTGTAAAAGATATTGCTCTTCCACTATTATAATGATGGTAATTATGATTTTGCATTATGAGGATGGAGGTTGTGATAATTGTGGTTGAAGTTCAAGATAGCGGTAATGAGAGTGAATATATTTTGTATTGGAATTTGTGAAGTAATGTTATTATAAATGATTATAGTCTAAATTTATCATTTAATTTAATTAATAATTAATTACAAGATACATTTTTATTGCTCTACTCATATCAGCAGTTATATCTTTTGACATAAATTATTAAATAAATAAATAAATGATTACGTTAAGTACATAAAAAATACAAAAAACATTTATCTTTAGTAGATTTTTATCTCAACACCTTCTTAGGCCTTACTTTTCATTGTTGAAACGTTTAGACTCATCTACAATTTCAAACAGTTGATTTTCTGTGATGTTCTGAGTTCCAGTATAAATGTAATGATGCAGAGGCACGGGTCGTTTTGCAGTACAAATTACATAGACTGATTGTTTTTTTATCTTCCTGTTAAATATAGGTATAAGAATGAATTTTAAAAAATGTTAGTATTGAAAAAACATGGACCATGTTCAACATTTATAAACATCTTTCACATCACACATACTGTAACAGTACAATCACTCTTTTATTATACTGTAGTTCCCTGGGTATAATCCCAACCCCCCATGAACGCGAAATTGGCCCAATTTTGGGGACTTGCATTATACCCGGGAAATCCTGTGTGCATGAACAGAACAAAAATGACGATTGTTCTTGCAGTTATTTTTAGCAGCGAATCTCTGGAACATGCGCCAGACACTTTGACACAATTTGAGACATCATTTATCAAACAAGATTGTTGGCAGCACCTGCTGCCTTCCTCAGGGTAAGAGTGTCTAAAGTAAAAGATGGCAATCTGGCTATATTAACTAGACATGATAAACAATACATAGTATAACTAATAAACTGTGAAGAGCATAACAAATCTGTAAGTAAATGTTGAGCAAATTACATGGCTCAGTGGTCAGGATCAATGACTAGGCCTAAATGATTGAGAAAGGGCTATGATCCCATGGCTGTAATAAATAGGCCTATGTGTGGTGAGAAAAATAAAAGTTATATTATACATAATAACTTACTATAAAAAGTGGAAATAGATGATAAAACGATAAAAATGAATTTCATTCTATTCATTGAGTGATTGAAATGTTAAGCTACAGGAAGGTTATATGTATTTTGTGATAGAGCTTTTATGGTTATTACATCTGTTACGTAAAAAGGCAACCTGTTTCCCCAACATAGTAAACACCGGAATTTTGACATGGTCGGTTACCTTGAATAGCGATGGTGGTCGGGAGTATAAATGATGTTAAAATAGCTTTAAGGTTAGGGGGTTGCCTCCTGGCTAAGATGGGGGCTTCATGAAAGGCTCTGATGTTAGGTAGGCTAGCTGTAATTTGTTTGAAGTCTTGTTTGAGAATTTTAGCCAGATCGTTAATGCGAGAATTATGATCAAATACCAATGGACGTTTGGATTCCATTTTGGGTTTGTACATGAGGAGTTCTTCACGGGATTTATGGGAGGCTTAATGACTTTTAGTGGATACTCACTTTGAATCAACTTGCTTGAGAATTCCAATGTGTTTGTTTCTGCGGTGGAGCAAATACGTTTTATTCTAAGGTCCTGGCTATATATAAGGGAAGGTTTGATATTTTCAGGATGGGCACGCTTGTAGTACAGGTAAGTATGGTTATCCGTGGGCTTGGATAACCACTGACTCATACAAGGACATCGAGGTAAGACGATATCAGTGAATGATTGGCTTGAGGTGAAAAAAAAAAGAATCTTCGCTATGTGGTCAAACGAAAAATGTATCATAGATATACCTGACGTAGTGTAAAGGCTGTAGGTGATGGCAGTAAGTGCATGAATCTTCAAAGTAGATGTTAGTGTATGCTCGCGCCATTTTGGTACCCATGGTCGTGTCTTTAATTTGCTTGTAATGTTTTTAAGTGGTTGAGTGATAAGATAAATTCAATGATCGAAGTGATGTCTTGAATGTTGGAGTCAGGAAGAAATTTAGTTAGAAATTCTCTACAAGCGATGAGACCGTCGCAAATTATGTCAAAGTGTCCAGCGTATAT